CACGAGATTAGGAGATCGAGACCATCCTGGTTAACACGGTGAAACTCCGTCTCTACTAAGAAATACAAAAAATTAGCCTGGCGTGGTGGCGGGCGCCTGTAGTCCCAGCTGCTCGGGAGGCTAAGGCAGGAGAATGGCGTGAACCCGGGAGGCGGAGCTTGCAGTGAGCCAAGATTGCGTCACTGCCCTCCAGGCTGGGTGACAGAGCGAGACTCCGCCTCAAAAAAAAAAAAAAAAAAAAAAAGTGAGTTAGGGCTGGGCACAGTGACTCAGACTTGTAATCCCAGCACTTTGGGAGGCCGCAGTCACCTCAGGTCAGGAGTTCATGACCAGCCTGGTCAACATGGCGAAACCTGTCTCTACTAAAAATACAAAAAATTAGCCAGGCATGGCGGTGGGTGCCTGTAATCCGAGCTACTTGGGAGAATTGCTTGAACCCGGGAGGCAGAGGTTGCAGTCAGCCTCCGTCTCAAAAAACAAAAAAAAGTGAATTAGTTATTTAATCTGCAAACTAGATAGGCATCAGAGATTTTGAAGAAAGAAACCATGATTTAAAAATAGTTCGGCCAGGGCCGGGCGCGGTGGCTCAAGCCTGTAATCCCAGCACTTTGGGAGGCCGAGACGGGCGGATCACGAGGTCAGGAGATCGAGACCATCCTGGCTAACACGGTGAAACCCCGTCTCTACTAAAAAATACAAAAAATTAGCCGGGCGAGGTGGCGGTCGCCTGTAGTCCTAGCTACTCGGGAGGCTGAGGCAGGAGAATGGTGTAAACCCGGGAGGCGGAGCTTGCGGTGAGCTGAGATCCGGCCACTGCACTCCAGCCTGGGCGACAGAGCGAGACTCCGTCTCAAAAAAAAAAAAAAAAATAGTTCGGCCAGGCACGGTGCCTCACACCTGCAATCCCAGCACTTTGGGAGGCCTAGGTGGGCAGATCACCTGAGGTCAGGAGTTCAAGACCAGCCTGACCAACATGGCAAAACCCCATCTCTATTAAAAATACAAAATTAGCTGGGCGTGCTGGTATATGCCTGTAATCGCAGCTACTCAGGAGGCTGAGGCAGGAAAATCACTTGAACACGGGAGGCAGAGGTTGCAGCGAGCTGAGATTGCGCCATTGTACCCCAGCCTGGGCAACAGAGCAAGACTCCATCTCAAAAAAAAAAAATGTATATATATAGAGAGAGAGTTCAAGGCAACAGTAGTTTTGTGATAGAACACAGAGGATTAACCACTAAAAGAATGATGTTGATGATGACTGCCACAGGCATTCAGGGAAAGGATGTGTCAGCTGGGGGTGTCAGAATTGGCCGCACAGTGAGAGTTTAGCTGGGCCTTCCACCAGGTTCATCTGAATTTTCTAGGAGTCTGCTATGTGCCAAGCACTGTGCTAAGTGCTGGGGATATAGCAGTGAGCAAGATAGGCATGATCCTTGCCCTGTTGGACTTCTGTTCTAGGGAGGAACCCAACCAATACTCAGTAAATAGATAAAGTTATTGCAATTTTAAGTTTCCAGTAAAAGGAAACAAGCAAGGGCCAAGACAGAGACTAATATTGGGGAAGTCTTCTTGGGGAGGATGCCATCAAAGCCAGGAATTAAATAATCAAGAAGAGCTAGTCAGATATGTGTGGAGGGTAACAGCATGTCAATCAAGAGGACCACATGTGCCCAGGTGAGGGGTAGCTTTTGGGGAGGTGGAAGTAGACCAGTGTGGCTAATGCAGGGATGGGGTCCAAAGGAACCCAAAAGGAGATATCTGAAAGGAGCCAGGCACGCAGACCTGCAGGGGCACAAGCCACGTAGGGCCTTGTACAAATTTGTGCTTTCCTCTAATGAGATGGAAAGTCATGGAAGAGTTTTAAGTATGAGATGAAACAGTGGTTGGTGTTTTAAGAAGCATCACTGTTGATGCTGGGCAGAGAATGGACTGAAAGGAGGCAAGAGTGAAAGCCAGAGGCCAGTTAAAAGCGGTGGGGGGAAAGGGAAGCTGTCAGACAGGGGCAGTCCTCATGCTTGGACTTTTGCAATGTCCCCAGATAAAGTTCCACGTACCATTACAAAGAGAGACTGATGGGATTGAAAAAGGCCATCCCACGCCTGTTAGTCTAGTTCTCATGACCAGTGCTCCTGGCCTGAATAAATATTTCTACCTAAGTCATATAATCAACCTGTGGGGAGCATTTGGTATTACAGTTTTTGTTGTGCTGTGTCTCAGTGTGGGTGTCCCTAGACCTGGAGATAAGGATTCAAATGCAAGTAGTTTATTTGGGAACGGAGGTAAGGGAGGGGAAATAACACAAGGAAGGCAGCCAGTGAATGGCGTGTTGTTACCTCCATGGTGACCAGGACTGGATCTGTGGGAAGACCCTGGGAGGCACATGCCCCAGATTGTCCACTCAAGAGGCAAAGGAGCTGGGGTATTTTTACACGAATTCCCTCCACCCAGCCATTGCTGAGGGTTGCAGGCAGCGGTATAAATTCCCAAGCCCTTCTGTCTTTCCTCAGGGGTGGGCAGACCAGGTTTCTGCAGTTATGCAGAAAGACCCCCACACAAAGATGCAGATCCTGGCAGCTGGAAATCTCTGGAGCCCAAAGAAGTGGCAGGATCTGAGGATACCAGAGAGATGTGAAAGCTATACTCCGTGTCGTCGTTTCACTTTTAAAATAGACCTCTGCCATATGGTGGCTCATGCCTGTAATCCCCGAACTATGGGAGGCCAAGACAGGAGGATCTTTTGATGTCAAAAGTTTAAGAACAGCCTAGGCAACAGAGTGAAACTCCCGTCTCTACAAAAAAATATTTTTTTAATTAGCTGAGGTGGGAGGATCCCTTGAGCCCAGGAGTTTGAGGCTGCAGTGAGCCATGATTGTGCCATTGCACTTCAGCCTGGGTGACAGAGTGAGGACCTATCTCAACAAATAATAATAATATAATATAATAGACCTCACATGATGGACGTAATCTTGTCTCTTGACAGTCAGGAGACCCTCAGAAGCTGTGAACGCATTGCATGAGAAAAACAATGGTGGCCTGGACTGAGGTGGAGGCAAATGTAGGTGGAGACAAGACGGCGTCTCCTTTGGGTGCTGCTGGCCAGCAGTGGGGAGGGAAGGGTGGGAACTTTAGGGGATAAAAGACATTTTTTTCTCATCCCTCTCTAGATTCATGTCTGAGACCCTCTATAACCAAAGACGGAGTAACAAGAGAAAAGCACACACATTCATTGAATATGTTTTACGTGGCATGGAAGCATCCACAGATGAAGACCCAAAGGAACAGGGAACCCCATGTCTTTTCATGCTTAGTTTTGATGGAGTAGACAGTCATGCAGGAGCAGCAGTATGACTGGACAACGGAGATGTGATCTAATGGCAATAAACTGAGGGAACTTAGAAGGCCTGTTTGTTCGTATTCCTCTCTGTATCCCTGTATCTCCAGACATAAGGACATTCCTGTCCTCTGAGTACAGGCTGGGCACCCCTGGAATGAGGGCCTTCTTCAGAGGAAGGTCAGAGGATTCTTTCACGGTCAGCTTCAGGGAAGAAGGGCAGGAGGAGGTCAGAAAGTGACCTTCCTGCTTTTGCTGTTTTCCACATGCCATGGTGCTATATTGTGGGTTATGGTGTTCTGAACCTCATCAGAATCAAGATGACTCCTACTTTCTGGCTTGAATGATTGTATGGACAGTGAGGCCATGTACTGACCTGGGGAGGTTTGGGGAAGTCAGTGGCGGGGAACAGATTCGAAGAAAGCAAGAGTTTGAGGCGCATAAGAGGCATCTGTGTGGAGATGTTGGCAGGTGGCACTCAGAGGACAGGCCTGGGCTGGAGACACAGCTCTAAAAGATGACAGGTTGCCAGGAGTTGGAGGGGAAAGAGGGATAAATGGGCAAAGTACAGAGGATATTTAGGGCAGTGAAGGTGTTCCATATGATAATATAACGGTGGATATGTGTCCTTATACATTCGTCGAAACGCATAGAATATACAACACTAAGAGTGAATCTGAATTTAAACTTGGGCTTTGAGAGAGAATATGGCACATCACTGTAGAGTCACCGAGTGTAACAACATCTACCATTGCAGGTTGGGATGCTCATAGTGGGAGAGGCTGAGAAGAGGGGCTTTGGGAGATCTCTCTGTACTTTGCTCAATTTGCTGTGAACCTGAAACTGTTCTAAAATACAAAGTTTGGCTGGGTGCGGTGGCTCTCACCTGTAATCTCAGCACTTTGAGAGGCCGAGGCACGTGGATCACCTGAGGTCAGGAGATCGAGACCAGCCTGGCCAACACGATGAAACCCCGTCTCTACTAAAAATACAAAAATTAGCTGGGCGTGGTGGCACGCACCTGTAGTCCCAGTTACTCGGGAGGCTGAGGCAGGAGAATCACTTGAACCCGGAAGGCAGAGGTTGCAGTGAGCCGAGATCATGCACTGCACTCCAGCCTGGCAATAGAGTGAGATGCCGTCTCAAAAAATAAATAAATAAATAAAGTATTTTTAAAAGAGTGGAGGCCGGCCGGGCACGGTGGCTCAAGCCTGTAATCCCAGCACTTTGGGAGGCCGAGACGGGCGGATCAGGAGGTCAAGGGATCGAGACCATCTGGTTAACATGGTGAAACCCCGTCTCTACTAAAAAAATACAAAAAACTAGCCAGGCGAGGTGGCCGGCGCCTGTAGTCCCAGCTACTCGGGAGGCTGAGGCAGGAGAATGGCGTAAACCCGGGAGGCAGAGCTTGCAGTGAGCTGAGATCCGGCCACTGCGCTCCAGCCTGGGCAACAGAGGGAGACTCCATCTCAAAAAAAAAAAAAAAAAAAAAAAAAGAGTGGAGGCCAGGCGCGGTGGCTCATGCCTGTAATCCCAGAACTTTAGAACTTTAGGAGGCCAAGGCAGGCGGATCACCTGAGGTCAGGAGTTCATGACAAGCCTGACCAAGATGGTAAAACCCCGTCTCTACTAAAAATACAAAAAATTAGCCAGGCATGGTGGTGGACACCTGTAATCCCAGCTACTTGGGAGGCTGAGGCAGGAGAATCACTTGAACCTAGGAGGCAGAGGTTGCAGTGAGCCGAGATCATGCCACTGCACTCCAGCTTGGGCAACAAGAGTGAAACTCCATCTCAAAAAAAAAAAAAAAAGGCGGAGGGAACAGGCTGCAAGGAGGAGAACAGCTCAGAAGTAAGCAAACCAAGGTGTGCCTGGGGGTGCACAGAGAGGGCAATGACTCAGCCTAAGGAATTCAACTGAGGCCTCGTGGGTGGCACACACTTCCCAATTAGCCTATGAGTGAGGGTTTATACGGAGACAGACTCTGAAAGGTGAACGAATCCATGGGGCTTTGAATCAGGTACATTTCAACTCCTTCCAATCCTGGGCTGCCTGCTTTTGACATTAACTTGGAGCAGCACAAGACCATGCTGGAGAAGGCTGGGAGTAAGTTTAGAAGGGAAGCTTTGGTCGAGCATTGTGGTTCACACCTATAATTCCAGCACTTCGGGAGGCCAAGGCAGGAGAATTGCTTGAGCCCATGAGTTTGAGACCAGCATAGGCAATATAGAGAGACCTTATCTCTACAAAAAAAATTTTAGGTTGGGCGCGGTGGCTCACGCCTGTAATCCGAGCACTTTGGGAGGCCGAGGCGGGTGGATCACAAGGTCAGGGGATTGAGACCATCCTGGCTAACACAGTGAAACCCTGTCTCTACTAAAAATACAAAAAAATTAGCCGGGCGTGGTGGTGGGCGCCTGTAGTCCCAGCTACTCGGGAGGTTGAGGCAGGAGAATGGCGTGAACCTGGGAGGGAAGCAGAGCTTGCAGTGAGCCGAGATCGCGCCACTGTACTCCAGCCTAGGCGACAGAGGAAGACCCTGTCTCAAAAAAAAAAAAAAAAAAAAAAATTTAAATTAGCCAAGCATGGTGGTGCACACGTGTAGTCTCAGCTACTCAGGAGGTTGAGGCGGGGGGATCACTTAAGCCTGGGAGGCTGAGGCTGCAGTGAGCTATGATTGCACCACTGCACTGCAGCCTGGGTGACAGAATAAGACTCTGTCTCAAAAAATAAAAATAAAAAATAAACAAAAAGAGGACTTGGCTGGGAGACAGGGCTTGGTTCTGACACTTCATCTTCCCTGAACCCAGGAGAGAGCCAAATTTGGGGCTCCTCTTCAATGGGGGAAAAAAAAAGAAGAAAAACAAAATGTATGTTTTTTTGCCATGGAAAGAGGAAGAACTCAACAAAACCCAGAGTCCTGCTTGCCATCTCTAATTGCAGCCCCAGCTACCAGAAAGTTAACTTGTGGTTCCAGGGGAGTATTTTCCTAATCATCATAAAAATGAGCATATATCTTTTCACTTGCCTCCCCCTCAACTAGGTCCAATTTTTTTTCCCTACCAAACTGAAAAGGGAGAATTTCAGTCATTTTCTACTCTTTTACTCATGAGAATAAGGCCAGTTCATCTCCTTCTCTCTCTTTCTTTCTTTCTTTCTTTCTCTCTCTCTCTCTCTCTCTCTCTCTCTTTCTTTCTTTCTTTCTTTCTTTCTTTCTTTCTTTCTTTCTTTCTTTCTTTCTTTCTTTCTTTCTTTCTTTCTTTCTTTTCTCTCTCTTTCTCTCTCTCTCTCTCCTTCCCTCCTTTCCTTCTTTTTTTGTTATCTTTTTTGTTGTGGTTATTGCTGTCTCTTTCTTTCAGGGGAAAAATATGTGTTCTTGTTGCAATAGCTGGAGAAAGCCGAATAATTTTTTTTTTTTTTTTTTTGAGATGGAGTCTTGCCCTGTCGCCCAGGCTAGAATGGAGTGACATGATCTCCACTCACTGCAACTCCGCCTCCCGGGTTCAGTTGATTCTCCTGCCTTAGCCTCTCCAGTAGCTGGGATTGCAGATGTGCACCACCACACTTGGCTAATTTTTGTATTTTTAGTGGAGACAGAGTTTTACCATGTTGGCCAGGCTGGTCTCGAACTCCTGACCTCAAGTGATCCTCCTGCCTTGGCCTCCCAATGTGCTGGGATTACAGGTGTGAGCCACTGCGCCCAGCCAAAAGTTTTTTGGGTTTGTTTTTTGTTTTTTTTTCCCCAGAATATGTGTAGAAAGCACGTTTCGGCCATCCTGCTGCTTACTGATTCACTTGACAAACTTGCTCTGGGTAGTTGGTGCGAGCCAGGGGTTAGCTGAGCCTTGGGACTCCAGGGATGAGTAAGATGTGAGCTCTACCCTCAAGAGGTTCACAGTACGGTTAAGACCCAGGCAAGGCAATAGAAAATTCCAGACAGGAACTGGGAGTGTTGAGAATGAGAAGGGCATGGTGTTTTCTGGGCCTGGTATTTTCTAGGTACCTGGTAGGGGTCTCTAACCAGGACGAGCTGGGAAAGCAGTCAGGGAACGCTTGGCAGAACAGCTGCTCCTTCCTCCTAAGGCTCATATTGGTGATCAAAAATCAATCATGGTTATCTTTTGTTGGAATGAACAAAAGGGGGACTCTACTAGTCCTACCAGAAGAAGTCATTTGCCACAGCCCGAGACTAGCTGGACACTTTGCAAATCTTAACAGGCCATTGGGAGGCTCTTACATGAAATTCCTTCTGGGCCTCTGGGTCAGAGATTCCAGGGTATTTCATTTCTTTGGCAGAGATCAGCAGACCAGAAGGCCTACGTGTACACTGGAAAGCCCCCCAACCAAGGAATCCCTGTGCGACTTGAAGTAAACTATTTAACCACAGGCAACTGCCTCAGCTTCCTGTTTGGTCAAGAAGTGATAAGCAGTAAAACTTCATCTCCAATGGCCAAAAGCCCTGGGAATTGTGCTGCTGTGCTGGGCCTCTCTGCCTGGTGTGAAACAAACAATAACGCTCTGTTGAGCCTGCCTGAAATGCCCATGTGCAGAATGATTGTTGAATGCTTGAGATTTATGGAGATAAAAATTATAAATGTCCTAGCTTGATTTACATTGACGGAAAAAGCAAAAAAGATACCTATAAGGCAGTGCATTTTTAAGATGAAAATTAAACCATACATTAAACAGAAAATATTTAAAATGTCAGGCACAAGTTAATACAGTGGAAGTTAACTGTTTCTCCATCTGACAACGAGAACTTTTTCCAAATCGGACCAGGCTATTGGACACCCAGGATGGAGTGCAATGGTGCGATCTCAGCTCACCGCAACCTCCACCTCCCAGGTTCAAGTGATTCTCCTGTCTCAGCCTCCCGAGTAGCTGCAATGACAGGCGCCTACCACCACGCCCGGCTAATTTTTTTGTATTTTTAGTAGAGACGGAGTTTCACTATGTTGGCCAGGCAGGTGCTGAACTCCTGACCTCAGGTGATCCGCCTGCCTCAGCCTTCCAAAGGGCTGGGATTACAGGCATGAGCCACCGTGCCTGGCCAAGATGTCTTTCTAATCAGAGCTAAAGTCCATCTCAGGTAGATAGGGGTGTAACCATTGTGGTCACCCTTATTCTTCATAGTTAACTTGCCTTATTTATTTATTTATTTATTTATTTATTTATTTATTTATTTTTTGAGACAGCGTATCACTCTGTCACCCAGGCTGAAGTGCAGTGTTGCAAACATAGCTCACTGCAATCTTAACCTCCTAGGCTCAAGCAATCCTCCCACCTCAGCCTCCCGAGTAGCTGGGACTACATGCATGCACCACCATGCGCAACTAATTTTTGTATTTTTTTGTAGAGACAGGGTCTCACCATGTTGTCTAGGCTAGTCTTGAACTCCTGACTTCAAGTGATCCACCGGTCTTGACCTCCCAAAGTCCTGGAATTACAGGTGTGAGCCACTGAACCTGGCCCATAGTTAGCTTTAAAAGAAAAAACTGGGCTGGGTGCGATGGCTTACGCCTATAATCCCAGCGCTTTGGGAGGCGGAGGCAGGCGGATCATGAGGTCAGGAGTTTGAGACTAGCCTGGCCAATATGGTGAAACCCCGTCTCTACTAAAAATACAAAAATTAGCTGAGTGTGGTGGTGCATGCCTGTAACCCCAGCTACTTGAGAGGCTGAGGCAGGAGAATCACTTGAACTGGGAGGCGGAGGTTGCAGTGAGCCAAGATGGCGCCACTGTACTCCAGCCTGAGTGACCATGTGAGACTCCATCTCAAAAAAGAAAAAAGAGGCCGGGCGCGGTGGCTCAAGCCTGTAATCCCAGCACATTGGGAGGCCGAGACGGGTGGATCACGAGGTCAGGAGATCGAGACCATCCTGGCTAACACGGTGAAACCCCGTCTCTACTAAAAATACAAAAAACTAGCCGGGCGAGGTGGCGGGCGCCTGTAGTCCCAGCTACTCGGGAGGCTGAGGCAGGAGAATGGCGTAAACCCGGGAGGCGGAGCTTGCAGTGAGCTGAGATCCGGCCACTGCACTCCAGCCTGGGAGACAGAGCGAGACTCCGTCTCAGGAAAAAAAAAAAAAAAAAAAAAAAAGAAAAAAGAAAAAACTGGCAAGGTTTCCTGAGTCAAAGCACAGCCCAGACCCAGCAGGCGTGCCTCAAGGGAGAAGAGGTTAAGCTGCCCTGAACAGGTAGATCCCCAGTATGTCTCTTTCCTTGCCTGCATGTCCCTGTGGCTTCCAGAAGATCCTAATTTGAGCCTGTTTGGGGATCAGTGTTTGCACAGATCCCTCCCCCCTCACTCCTGAATGAAAGGAGGAAAAGGGCTGAGCGTGGTGACTCACACCTATAATCCCAGCACTTTGGGAGGCTGAGATTGGCAGATCAATTGAGGTCAGGAGTTTGAGACCCGCCTGGCCAACATGGTAAAACCACATCTCTAGTAAAAAAAAAAAAAAAAAAGAAGAAGAAGAAGAAAGAAAAGCCAGGGATGGTGGCACACGATTGTAATCCTAGCTACTTGAGAGGGGGAGGCATGAGAATTACTTGAACTTGGGAGGCAGACGTTACAGTGAGCTGAGATCATGCCACTGCACTCCAGCCTGGATGACAGAACAAGACTATGTTTAAAAAAAAAAAGAAAGAAAGAAAGGAAAAGGAACTTCATCACTTTGAGAAAAATAAAATGTCTTCAGAGCCTGTG